TTCGAACTGGCTTCCGAGATAGGTCGATCTTCCACTCAGCCATTGATATGCTTTCTATTTGTTTGAAAGCATGAAAATGCACAGCGAAAATTTGGAGCGACGTTCGCCTAAACACTTAGCAGGAAGGGTATACTTTTTTTGTTAATAATAATACGACACTTATCACAACTTGTGAAGCTCATAAATATCCTTCAATATATTAGTTATGGCATTGGACAATATCTCCTAAGTAATTCTAGTATAATCTCAACAATAACTTACAAATTATTCAAATTTTCGTCAAACTCTTTTTATTTATTTCCAGCTAAGACACCATCATTCGATAAAGATCGCGACTACATCGGCTTCGCCACATTGCCCGAACAAGTGCATAGGAAATCGGTGAAGCGTGGATTCGACTTTACGCTTATGGTAGTCGGCGAGTCCGGATTGGGCAAGTCAACGCTAATCAATAGCCTATTCTTGGGTGATCTATACAAGACTCGAATTATACCAAATGTGGAAGAGCGACTCGAGAAGACGACACGTGTTGAAAAGAAAACCATGGATATAGAAGAGAGGGGAGTACGCTTGCGATTAACCGTTGTGGATACGCCAGGTTTCGGTGATGGCATCAACTGTGAGGATAGCTGGCGTGTCTGCACCGCCTACATCGATGAGCAGGTGAGGAAATTGTCGGCGAAAATGATTAAGTTTACGGAGGTTTTTCACGTTTTTTTTTGTTTAATTTTGCAGTTTCGTCAATACTTTACAGACGAGAGTGGCCTGAATCGACGCAACATACAGGATAACCGCGTGCATTGTTGTTTGTATTTTGTGCCCCCATGGGGTCATAGGTGAGTCCCGCTATATTTACATATGCTTCTGCTTATTTCGATGCTTACCCATTTTTTTCCCCTACAGTCTGCGTCAAATGGATTTGGATCTCATACGACGACTCCACCGCAAAGTCAATATAGTGCTTGTCATCGCCAAGGCGGATTGTCTGACCAAAAATGAGGTGCGTAAGCTAAAGGAGCGCATACTGCAAGATCTAGAGGACAACAAAATACAATTATATCAATTCCCCGAATGTGATTCGGATGAAGATGATGATTTTAAGCAACAGGATCGCGATCTGAAGGCTTCAATACCTTTCGCTGTCGTCGGCAGCAATACGATATTGGAGATAGCGGGCAAGAAAGTGCGCGGGCGTCAATATCCTTGGGGCGTTGTAGATGTGGAAGATCCCGAACATAGCGATTTCAATAAGTTACGCACCTTCCTCATCTCCACACACATGCAAGATCTTAAGGACACAACACAGGATGTGCATTATGAGAATTTCCGTGCACAATGCATCTCACAGATATCGCAACATGCGCTGCGCGAACGTGGCAAATTGAAGCGTGATTCAATTAGTTCGACCAATGGCTTTGATGCGGCTATTTCAGAGACAGATCGATTGCTGTTGCAGAAAGATGAAGAAATACGACGTATGCAAGATATGCTCACACAAATGCAAGAGAAGCTGAAGCAGACTCACTTGATGGAAATGAAGAAGAATGATAGTGTTATTGATGTTTAAATGAGCGGCGAGGGTTTTGAGCTTTGAACATAAAGTCAGCTGATGAAGGAAAAGGGAAGCTCATTGGCATGGTTTGAGTGAAGCTTTAATGCAGGCATACAATTTGAGAAACGAACACCTGTATTGACACGAATAACAAATACCGAATTAAATAGTTTTTTCGCACAATTTGACCACATTTATATAGTACACACAGAGCAGATATTTCTTTGCAAATTAGCCTAGTGAGGCTCTTAGATGACACACAATCGAACAAAACTTTTTTTGTCTAAATACATATATACCTACTTAAAAGTGATTTGATTCTAAAAGCTGAAAATTTTGCAAATTGGAAACAGTAAGATGTGCACTTCTCTGAAAACTGGAAAATTTTATAAACAAATGCTTTGAAAACTATCTGCGAACTGATCCCTTCAATCATGATTTGCACCAATTTAACTTTTGAAAAATTATTTCTAGTGCAGTTCCAGAAAAATTTTCATTTCCAGTAGGACTTACGAGTTATCATAACAAAATAATCAAAAACAAAGCAGAAACAACGATCAGCTGAAAAAGCATAATTTGAGTGCCGAAAATATTTGGTGATTCAAAAACACACACAAATACTTATACAGACATTCCATGCCCACCATTTTGAAAAACAGAAAAATAATTAGCATGAAATACTGGTACACGAAAACGGTATTTAAAAGCGTTAAATAGCTACTTACTAATCAATTGCATATTAGAAGCGGTCATATTTAATAGCATTTTCGAAAATTAAACAAAAAGGAAATTAAAGTTTTTCGCATAATAAAAGGTCAAATTGATTAGCGTTGCAAAGTGCACACATATGCATACAGATTTATTACAGAACGAAAATAGCGTTGGGCGATTAATCGACTATGGCTAAATAAAAAAATTATGATTTTTTTAATTCGACATTTAGAGCATTTGAATTTGATTATATTAGTGTTTTGGAAAAATTTAAAAACAATTTCATTGCTTAAAAAAGTTTATATTTAAAAAAAGTTTGAAACATCTTTTCAAACTAGATTCTGATTTTTTTTTATTATTTTGAAAAAATTTTAATATTTTTAAATTTTTGTACTTTCAAGTAGGTTTAATTTTTGTTTTTTTTTGGTTTTAGAATGCAGAAAGGAAAATTTAATAATTTTCATTTGCTCAACAAATTTTATAGTTCTTGAAAAATCTTTTCACCTTACTTAGCTCGAATTTTTTTATTACTAATTTTAAAGAATTCAAGTTTTTTGTTCGGTTTTTCCAATTTTTGGCTAATTAATGCAGAAAGAAAAATTAAATAATTTTGTTGGCAAAAAGAAAGTAGTTGTTTTTTAACGATTCCGCAGATCGTTAGAGGCTGCTTATCAAAGTACGGAAAACTGGCGACTTTGTAAGTGGTGGTCAATTCATTTTTAGTACTGTATCGCCAGTTGCAGGGTTTTTAAAACTTTATTTGCTGAGCTCTGAGGGCTATGGAATCGCAGCAATCTTGAAAACAAGCGTGGGCGTTTTGTTGAACCCGAACTATGACGAAACGTTAGTATTGATACATAGTGGTGAATTTCCAAAAGAATTTTGCTTTACCTCATAACAATACCTTTTTACAGTAGGTAGCATTTTCGACTTTTTTTTTAAAAATCCAATATTAATACTACTTGCCATTTTATGGATGAAGCAACTTTAGATACATATAATCCTTGTCCTCAAATTTGGCAACAGATTTTTTCCTGGAATATTTTAACCCCTTAATTCCTACCAGAAGGGGCTTTAAAAATTAGATTTAAGGGGTTAAAATGCTAAGCATCGAATTTTATTATGAGTAGGGAAAACGACAGTTTTCTGGGAGTTAAGGGGAATGAGTAAATACCAGGGAACAAAAATAAGCGTTATTTTTATTTTTATTGGTTAAATTTAGTAGTTACTTTTTCGATTAATTTTAACCTTATAATAGGGCCTGCGTATTCATAACCAACCTTTTAACCTTTTAGGATATAAAAACTTAANGCGTATCAAGACACTTTTGTCCCATATTTCTGAAAGCTTGTAAAACCAATTTTGAATTGCACGACCCACTCCGTTGCTTATGCCAGGATTTTAACTCTCATTCCAGCACGTTTGATATATCAGATCCGCTTTTCAGCATTAAGAAAGCGATACTCTCCTCTCTCAATAAGTGAATTATTGACATAAATACATAAAATCAGCTGATGAATTTAGTTCTGTAGCTGAACAGTTTTAGATCTCGACACTTAACAAACTCCTGCCTATCGTGACTCGGCACAAAAATTTAAAATATTGGTTCCGTACGTCATGCGGACTGCGCCCCTCGTGCGGATGGGCGGGAATGGAGGGTAAAAATCGTTGGGATATTATTATAAAGTTTGCTAGAGGCCTTAAAATAACTGTCTTCAGGAGTAAAGAAAAACGTTGACCACATTTGTTTCCATGTATGTCTATTATTTAATATTTTTTAATACCTTTTAATAAATTTGAAAATCCAAACCGAAATTTTATTTTTTGAGATTTACGGTTTTTCAAATGTATGCTCT